GAGGTGGAAAATAAAGTCATACATATTTCTTTAGCGAATAATGGTGAAATAAAAATCATCAAAAATCAACGAATATGTGATAAAATCTAACAAAAAATGTTTGATAAATCCTTATTTAAAAATTAGTGGCAGAAAAATTTTTTGTATCAGAGATTAGCTAAATTCCTTTCTAAATTACTTCTTAATGATTTAACTAGATGTTCATGTCAATATATCCATAATTTTGATCACTTGGTTTTAAATACACTACGCCCCAAATATGTATTAAATGTTCTTTTTTTACCATTTTTCGATTAAAATTTAATCGTGATATGTATCGTTGCAAAAGAAACCCAAGATATGTCTTCAGATATCACACGATGAATAAATCCATATTGCCTGAGGAATAAAGTTACTTGTTCGTTGAATATAAGTTTTTGTGTAAGCTTGTCCTGTTTAACTATATAATTATGAAAAAATTACTGATTCAATCATTGAAAAATACATTTTCCACACTGCAAATCCAGTAAAGTCAACTCTCTGAATTCGAATTACGTTGACAAGCCAGTAAAAATTAATATTTAGTTTTAATTATTTTTCTCAGACGTCTGGAAATCGGAGCTTGCGACACTATTCATTGAAACGAATGAGTAGAAAATTAGAAATTAATGTGTACCAATTTGTACTTTTTTTTTTCATCAATGATGAGTGGTGGGTGGTGCAAATGTACACTGTAATTATGGAACCTTTAGATAATAGTTTACTTATGTGTTTCACGTTTCCTACGTTTATTTTATTTTCTTCACTGTTCTATATTGCATGGTATCTACAAATTTAATGACCAAGTACCTGGGAAAGTTGAAAAAAAATTTGTTGACGTCATGTGTAATTAATATCATCGTACTTGACCCTCTAGTGAAAACAAACTAGTTTTTATCAGTCGAAGAAATAGATATGGAATAAAAATAGCACATTCATAATAGCAGTCAAAAATTACTTGTGATGTGACTCCTATACCTCCTTAAGATAAAAATGCCAAAACGAGACGTGATTTTTTTTTTTCAATTTAAACGTATATTCTTGTGATTAGAAAAATCATCATGTGTAATTAATGTTTTACTTTTGGGACGAATTAATCAGTGTACTTATCTGTTTTGTAGTCTTTTTTTAACGATTACGAAGCTATTTCTATGTATAAGAAAACAAAGCTTTTTATATCATTTGTACTGTAAATCCAAGTTTGAAAAACTTATTAATTTTAAAGAAATAGAACGAATTTAATGCACGGGGGTTATAAAACGTATAACAACTTACAGATTTGACACTTGCTAAAATTTTGACAGAAATCGTAAGCACGTTACAGTAAACTTGTGGTGATTATTTTGAAAAAAAAAAAAAAAAA